TAAATATAATAACCGTCTATCAGGTCAGTGTTGTGACGAGCAGAACGTTTTGATTTCAGATGCTAAAATGATTGACAAAGCAATGAAGCAATTGTCTTCTGTACGAAAAGCATAAAGCAAATGGACATGGTCTACTTAAAACATTTATTTGTGAGATATTAGACACTATGACAAGTTCATGTTTTAAAATGAATGAGCTGTAATGAATGATCAGCGCAGTGCATCTAGGACGGTCTGAATTGGATCAAAATCCCAGACGCAAAAAACGGATAATACAAAAAAGTGATAATGATGATGACGTTTTTCAAGATAATGCGAGTTTGGCAGATGTTGTAAAAAGATCTAGTTGTGCTAGTAATCAGAAAATCAGTAACAGTAACAAACCAAATAGTCGTAAGACTCGTCCGGTCATTGTGATAACACTCGCAAGTTTTTGAAAACTCAGTTGGATTTAAAAACACACAAAATCAGTAATTTCAGGAATGGTAAAGATGGCTCTATTATTGTTGAGTGTGCAACAGGAGCTAATGTAAATGATGTGAAAAATGGTATTGAAAGCAATCTAGGTGAAAACTTTAGTGCTGTTGCTCCCACTTCGGTGCCAAGATTGAAAATCGTAGGCTAGAGCCTAGAGCGATCAGTATTCCTACGATGTCTTCATTGACTGCATAAAATGTCAAAATGAAGACATCGCCAAGTACTTAACATGTTTGAAAATCTACGCTTCATTTACAGCAAGTTTAATGTTGTGAGTGAAGTCGATGTCGATACGAATAAAGGACCACCCACATTAGATCCGTTTGCATTGCGTTGACGTAAAGTTGACAGTTAGACAATAGATTTAGCTATCACGTTGCCGCAACGCGTCAGATCCGGATCTAATGTGCGTGGGCCTTAAATGTTTGTTATGTGCAAAAAAAGTAAATGTAGGGTTTGATCGGTGCTTGACAGTTCCTGCAATTGATGTGCTAAGATTAGCATTGGGCGATCTTGAGTCAAGAAGCGATCTTAGTAAATCGATTTTTTTTTTGAAAATAATCGATTCAACGATTCAGTCAATCATTTTGAATCGATCTTTTGAATCGATTCGTTTTTCAAAATTGCACAAAAATATATCAAATATAACGGATCATAGGGAAGTTGGTGCAGATTAACGCCAAGCTCAGTCTAAAGTTGATATTACGTTACATAAGCTAAACACTACTAAAAAGTCATGTTAATTTCGGTTCCCTGAGACCGACACATGTAAGCGGGCCTTTTGACATAATAATCAGTTGAAGCTTACTTACTTAAGTGTCCTGAGCGCCATCCCTGGCGCAAAGGGCCAACGTGAAAGATCTCCATCCTGGGCGATTGTTTGCTTTCGCCTTGACCTGGGCCCAGGTCAAATTCCGGTCGACTTGCTTAATCTCCTTGTTTAGGCTTCGCCGCCATGAGCCCCTGGGTCTGCCTCTGCTGCGATGTCCGGCTGGATTCCAATCCAGCGCTTGTTTGCAGATTTCATTTCCGCTCTTCCGTAGAGTGTGGCCAACCCACCTCCACTTACGTTCCCGAATTTCTGTCGATATCGGCTTCTGGTGACACCGTCGATGGAGCTCGGCATTCGAAATCCAGTTGTGAGGCCACCAAGCACGAATTATATACCGCAGGCATCGGTTGATGAACACCTGCAGCTTCTGTGTGATCTCCGCTGATACGCACCATGTTTCGCTAGCGTACAGCAGTACAGATTTCACGTTAGAGTTGAAAATTCGGATCTTCGTGCGGAGACTAATCTGATTTGACTTCCAGATGTTTCGTAAACTCGCAAAAGCAGCCCTTGCCTTCTTGATCCGTGCACCTATGTCACTCTTGGTTCCGCCGTCCGACGCTATCTGGCTGCCAAGATATTGGAAACTTTCAACCTTCTCCACTTCCTGACCAGCTACCGTAAAATTGGATGGATTTCCCGTGTTGATATCCAACGATTTAGTCTTGCTGACGTTGATGTTGAGACCTGCCGCTGAGGAGCGTTCGGCGAGATCGTCGAGCTTACTCTGCATGTCAGAACGCCGTTGTGATACTAAAGCAACGTCATCCGCCAAATCTAGGTCGTTTAGATGCTCCATTGTAATAGGCTGCCAGAGCAACCCACGGTTCGGCACACGGTCGATCGCACCAACCATTATCTCGTCGATTACGATGAGGAACAGTAGCGGTGATAGAATACATCCTTGCCTCACTCCAGCGACTACCCGAATAGGGTCAGATAGGGCTCCGTTGTGCAGCACCCTGCACGTGAAAGCCTCATACTGAGCTTCGATGAGGTTGACGATTTTATCCGGAACTCCCTTGCGCCTTAGGGCGCCCCACAGGTTTTCGTGGTTGAGTCGGTCGAAAGCTTTTTCGTAGTCAATGAAAACCAAGTAAAGGGACTCTTGGAATTCGTTGACCTGCTCCAAGATTATGCGGAGCGAGACAATATGGTCCACACAGGATCTTCCAGCACGGAATCCCGCCTGCTGCCGTCGGAGAGTCGCGTCGATCTTCTCCTGTATCCGGTTGAGGATAACTTTGCATAGAACTTTGAGAACACAACACAGTAACATAATGCCACGCCAGTTATCGCATACAGTTGAGTCCCCCTTCTTTGGGACCTTCACTAAGACGCCCTGCATCCAGTCAGCCGGAAAAGTCGCGGTGTCCCAGATATTGCAGAATAGTTGATGCAACATTTGTGCAGATAGCATGGGGTCAGCTTTGAGCATCTCTGCTGATATGCGATCGACCCCGGGAGCCTTGTTGGATTTCATGGTTCGGATAGCAGCTTCGATCTCCGGTAGGGATGGCGCCTCAGAATTGACGCGAGTGATGCGTCGCACTCTTGGCGGTTCATGCCGAGATGTTGATGGCTGGTTGACCGACGAAACTTGTAGAAGCTGTTCGAAGTGTTCAAACCAGCGTTTCAGCTGATCAGTGGGGTCGGTGAGCAACTGACCAGTCGCGTCCTTCACTGGCATCCTAGGATTCATCCTTGCTCCACTCAGGCGTCGTGAGATATCGTAGAGGAGACGGATATCGCCTGTTGCTGCGGCTTTCTCACCTTCATCGGCTAGGGAGTCCACCCACGCTCGCTTATCCCGCCTACACGAGCGCTTCACTTCCTTCTCGAGAGCCGAATACAGTTGGCGGGCCTGGTTCTTCGCTCCTCTGGTTCTCGCCCGCTCTATCGCGGCTTTTGCATTTCTCCGCTCCTCTATCTTCCTCCAGGTGTCATCCGTGATCCACTCCTTTCTCTGAGCGCGCAGCTCGCCCAGGTTGTTTTCACTCGTTTCAGTAAAGGCATCCTTGATCGCCGTCCATTGCTCTTCTACGCTGCCACCATCAGGAATATCCGCAGCTCTGGTCTCCAGTTCCTCGACGAATGACCTTTTTACTGCTGGATCTTCCAATCGGCGTGTGTTGAATCGCCGTCCGAGCCGCTCCTCCCGCCGCTGGACCCGCGCGATACGAAGGCGGATCTCTCCAACGAGGAGATGGTGGTCAGACGCGATGTCGGCACTGCGTTTGTTCCGAACGTCAAGAAGGCTCCTTCTCCATTTTCGGCTGATGCAGATGTGGTCGATTTGATTTTCGGTATGTCCATCACGGGAAACCCACGTGACTTTGTGCACTGGTCGATGGGGGAAGAGCGAACCCCCGATCACCATGTCGTTATTGCCACAAAACTCTGCCAACAGCTCACCGTTTTCGCTCATTTCGCCAAGACCATGGCGCCCCATGACACGCTCATAATCCGTGTTGTCGGAGCCGATCTTCGCATTGAAGTCGCCGATGTAGATCTTGATGTCACCTCTCGGAATTTTATCCACGACTGCATTCAGTTGACTGTAAAAGTTCTCTTTGTCCTGTAACTCGGCAGCATCGGTTGGCGCATAACATTGGATTATGGTTAGGTTACGAACCCGCGTTCTGAATCTGGTAACGATTATCCTCTCATTGATAGGTTCCCACTTGATGAGCGCCGCATTTGCTTGGGCGCTAAGCAGGAAACCAACTCCACGGTGGCGGGGAGCGTTTTCACCTCGAATACCAGAATAGAGTAGTACCTGTCCCGACGGCAGCTTGTGTTCTCCAAAGTTTGGCCAACGGACTTCGCTTAGTCCCAGGATTTCGAGCTTCATGCGTCGAGCCTCGCTGGCGAGTTGTGCCAGCTTCCCCTGTTGGGCTAGCGTTAGTACATTCCATGTTCCAATTCTTGTCCGTTGTTTTGCGCTAAAAGTCGTTGCCGTAATATCAGTCCGTGATCTTTCTCTATTGGTTTCTGTAACAGTTGTAAAGTTTCGGGGACAGTAGGTAGTTAGCCTAAGGTCTCCTATCCGCCGTGATGGGGCTGCCATCTTGGGTATAGCTTTCGGGGATAAGCATTTCTTGTTTCAGCCGCTGGATGCCAGGCAGACGCTGTTTGAGCCGCACCTCCATGGTGGACAGACGCTCAGTTATTGTGTAGATGGGGCTGCCATCTTAGATTTAGCTGACACAATACAGCATTTCTTATTCAGCCGCTGGATGCCAGTCAGACGCTGTTTGAGCCGCACCTCCATGGTGAACAGACGCTCAGGCCGTGTAGGCCGAACCCGCTAGTCAGTTGAAAGAAACGTGAAAATCAATTCACTTAAACGTTCTCTTCGTCGAGTAACTGATGTTTCGGTTTGAGAACACTTAATTTTATATGAAATGTTTGTTTACGTTCTATGATTTACGTCCAACATGGATTACGTCTCGTGTAAAAGTAGTTATTTCTAAGTGTGTATCTTGTTATGACATTTCTCTTATAATGGTAATTTAGTGTGATGATTGATATCATTTAAAAATAAATTGTGATATCATTTAAACATAAGTTGTGAGTGTAACATACATGATGAGAATATAGTAAATGAAAATTTTGATTTCATTTGACGCGGAAGTTTTTGCTCAGGATACTTGATTAGGTGAGTGATATTGTTCGCACCCCTCCGGTGCGAATGAAAAACGATTTTCAAAAGTAGGTCTTTTGACGGACAAACTCAACTAAAATATATTCAAAATTAACAAACTATTTACATTAAACAAACTTACAATCGACACTTACAATTTAGTTTTTCAACGCCTGCAACTCCTCAATACCAATCTACCTTCGGTGGGCTTAGCGAGGTCCTATCAATTAATTAAATAAAAGACACTGAACAACATGTCACCTTTACATAATATTTAACTTACGGTAATTGAACAGTAATACACTAAATGCAAACATATCTGCTTCCCGCGGTACAACAGTGGCGAACAATCTATGATTTCACAATATTTAAAAAGCTACAAATAAACTAATAAACTACAAATTACACAACTTACTAGGTACAATAATCGGCACAAAACATAATTCGCAACAACAAAAACACATCTATCGCGATGGAGTCTATACTCTCCTGCTGGGGTAAAACAGCTGCTGGGGTAAACAAAACAAAGTAGTGCGAAAGCGATGGCCGTGTTCAGCTTATCCCACTCACTATCGCACCTCTGTGTGCATACATTCATATATGCGCCTCACTGCTACAGCGACGGCAAGAAACGTCAAAAACGGGCGCATCAAAGGGGCGCGTTCACGGTAGTTATGCTACCGCAACCCTTTCAGGCCTGACTGCAACGGCAACATTCCCCCGCCCGTAAACCCTGTGGCTGGTTCCATCAGGAACAGTACGGGGATTACTCCTTCGAAGTGACCTCCAGAACGGCTAGCTTCGCTACCGGTCTGACCTTCTCGCCTCTGCTTGTCTGAACGGACGCTGAACGGACTCTTCCGTCACTCCCAACGAACACCTTCTTCACCACGCCTCGCTCCCAGACGTTTCGCTTCTCTCCATCTGCCACGAACACCAAATCTCCAACCGCTACTTGTCGCTGATCCACGAACCACTTAGACCTCTTGTTTAACATCGGCAGGTATTCCCTCTGCCAACGATCCCAGAATCCATCCGCCAAGAACTGTGCGCGATGGTAGCTACTACGCAACGTGTTGGCCAGGTCAATGGGATTCCTCGACGGCAGACACTCGACCGATGAACGACCACGCAAAAAGTGGTTCGGCGTCAACGCTTCCTTGTCTTCCTTCACGTTGGTGGACACGTAGGTGAGTGGACGAGAGTTGATCAGGTTCTCCGCCTCGATCAGTGTCGTCTGCAGGATCTCGTCCGTCAGCTTCCGACCATCTGTGAACGTTTTTAGTGCCTCTTTCACCGAGCGCACCATTCTCTCCCACGCACCTCCCATGTGTGGGGCAGCCGGTGGGTTAAAGGTCCAACGAGTCCTCGCACCGGTAAAGGTATCCGCACATGCTAGATTTATTTCCTTCAGCAGATCTCGACTGGCACCGACAAAGTTCGTGCCGTTATCCGAAAGGATCTCGATCGGACTGCCACGCCGCTTTACAAACCTCCTGATCGCCATTTTGCACGACTCAGTCGTCAAGTTGTACGCCACCTCCAAATGTACCGCTCGCACAGTTAGGCACGTGAAAAGTGCCACCCATCGCTTTTCCTTCCTTCGGCCAATAGACACTTCCAGTGGACCAAAATAGTCTATGCCGACGTACGAAAACGGATCGACCCTCGCCGCCAAACGCTGCCCTGGTAAGGGTGCCATTCTCGGAACAATTGGCTTCGCCTTTTGAATCTTGCACCACACACAGGCTCGCATCACTTGATCTACTAGCGCTCGGAGACACGGAATGTAGAATCGCTGCCGAACTTCGTTTACAACGGTTTCTCTGCTGCTGTGCCCATACTGCCGATGGTAGTGTTCTAATAACCTTCGAGTCACCACGTGGTCCTTCGGCAGAATGATCGGAAACCTCGCATCAAATGCCGCATATTCCGCCGCTTCTGTACGACCTTCCATCCGCACGACACCATCCTCATCCAGGAACGGCGCAAGACGATACAGCTTACTCGACCTCTCTAGTGACATTTCATGTACTGTCGAATCCTTGTTCTTCACCAGGGTCCTCACTTCGTCGGCAAACTCGTCTGCCTGAATTACCTTCCACAAAACTGTTTCTGCAGCTTGGTACTCCTCCTGTCGCAACGGCACATCCACGGCGGGGAACGTTGATCCTTGCTTGACACCTTTCCTAACGGCTTCGATCGGCAGCTTCTTGACGCGTCGCCGGCAGTTGGACGCGAATCGGAACACTGTTGCTAGGGTCCGCACCATTACTGTCCAACGCGAAATATGCTGTAACCTCTCCGTAAACCCCTCGGGTAACACGATGTGATGCAGCAGCACGCTCGCCCGGAGCTCTTCAGCAACTTCCACCTTTGGACGCTTTTGCTTCGGCCATTCTTCCACTCCGTGATACAGAAAATCCGGTCCATGGAACCATCGGCTTCCCGACTTGATCTCCGTTCCTTTGCCCCACTTCGTCAAATCGTCCGCTGGATTGTCCTTCGTTCCTACCCAACGCCAATCTTCTGGATTCGTGATGCTGAGGATCTCGCCAATACGATAGGCAACGAACGGCTTATACCTTCGTTGGTCCGATTTCACCCATGATACTACCGTATCCGAGTCACACCACAGGAACCGCTTCGCTACCGGAAAGGAATGGGCATCGCAGATCGACTTTGTTAATCGCGCACCGAGAACAGCCGCTTCTAGCTCCAACCGTGGTGTAGACAGGTACTGTAATGGCGCCACCTTTGCTTTGGCCTCGATGAATGCGCAGTGAACGACTTCGCCGTCCTCGAACCTGAAGTAGGCCACGCATCCATATGCCGCATCTCCAGCGTCAGTGAAAACGTGTAACTGCACCGTTTCATAGACCTTCGAGTCCAATCCACCGAGGTAACACCGTGGAACACGAATCTCATCGATTAGATGGAATAGCTGTGTCCACTGCACCCACCGCTTGTAGTGAGCTTCCGTGAGCTTCTCGTCCCAACCTATGCCGCTACGCCATAAATCCTGCATTATGATCCGTCCGTGTATCAACAGCGGAGCCAGGAACTGCTTCGGATCGAACATGCTGGCAATGCACCGCAACACAATCCTCTTTGTTGGCCAAGCACCTTCCCGAATGTAGGGCTGAAGGTCTTGGCGAATCTCCGTTGAGAAAACGAAGTGATCACCTTCCGGGTCCCACAGCACTCCCAGGACTCTCTCCGTAGCGCAATGCTTGTCTACTTCTAGTGGTTTCACCACAGACTTCTCCTCTCCGAGCTGACGTAACACTTCCTGTGAGTTGGAAACCCAGTTCCGAATCTCGAACCCACCGTTGGCGTGTACACGTCGCACATCCATCGCTAGTCTCACCGCTTCCTCTACTGTATCGGCACTGTCGAAATAGTCGTCGACATAGTGCTTTCGAACGATAGCTTCGGCAGCCTCCGGATACTGCTCGGCATGTTCCCGCGCGTTCAAGTTTTTCACGTACTGTGCGGAGCAAGGCGAACAGGTCGAGCCAAAGATAACCACATCCATCACGTACGTTTCCACCGCTCCGTTCGGACCCACGAATATGAACCGTTGTGCCTGACGGTCTTCTGCACGAACCCATGCTTGATGAAACATTTCCCTAATGTCACCTCCAAACGCCACGTTTCTCTCGCGGAATCCACTTATAACAGCTGGTAGCAACGTTATCATGTCTGGACCCTTCAACAGCTTATCGTTAAGCGACACTCCATGAGCCCTCGCTGCCGCATCCCAGACCAACCGCACCTTGCCAGGTTTCTTCGGATGTACCACGTAGTTCAGCGGTAGGTACCAAGCTTTACTCTTCGGCGTCTCCTTTAACTCCTGCTCGGTGATACGATGCGCGTAGCCTTTGGCAAGATATTCTTCCAACTGCTTCTGCAAACATTCCTGCACTCCAGGATTCCGGTTCATCCGAGCCTCCAAACATCGCAACCGCTTCATGGCCATGTCTAAACTCTCCGGAAATCGAACATCATCTTCTTTCCAGAGTAATCCTGTCTCGAACCTGCTACCCACTCTTCGAGTGGTCTTCTCCAAAATCTCGCGTGCTCTACGATCTTCCTTCGATTCTAAACGAATAGGTGACACTCCGACGTCTTCAAGTTGATAATGTTTCTTCATCGCCTCGTCCAGATCCTTATCCGCTTTGCTGCACTCCTCACACGAGCACCGATGGTGTCCCAGAAAATGCACCTTTCCTACGACGTTTGGTTGTGGACCATAAGCCGTCCAGCCGAGCTTGCACAAAATGGCAACTGGTTTACCAGATTCTCCGATTCGTGAGTCCAGCGGGGCGATCAAGTGAAGATTATCGATCCCCAGCAGCACCTTCGGTGTAGTTCTCTCGTAACTGGGAATGTCGATGTCTTCAAGGTGCTTAAACTCCTGGACCAACTTCGCTGAATCCAGCTTCTGTGCAGGGAGGTTTAACCTGTGCACCGTATGAGCTTCCAGCAGATCGTATCTACTCGACGAGTCTCTGGCAGATATCTCAAGCACCACTTTCTTCGACTGATACTCCGTGCGCTGTACGCCGTTTGTCCAAGTCATCTGCAGTGGTTCCACTGGTCCATCGGCACCCAACGTTCTCACCAATTCACTGTCCACCATGGTAACCGAAGATCCTTCATCGATGAGTGCTAGAGTATCTACTCTTTTCTTGCCGTTGTATAGCGTCACTGGAACCATCCTAAACAGAACTGCACATTTCGACTGACGATGACTATTACACTGCACCTGAGTTCGCGAGTATCCGGCTGGTCCACCATGAAGAAGGGCATTGTGGTTTTCCGGACAGCCATCTACCTTGCAACGAACTCTTATACGACATGATCGTTGTCCATGGTCGTAAAGGCAGAGTGGACAGAGGTTCAACCGAGTCACCGTTTTCCACCGCTCTGCAACACTCTGTTTGAGCAATTCCTGGCAGTTCCTTCCGTAATGCCCAGACTTTTGGCACACGGAACACTTCAACTCTCGGCGCTGGGGTTGGGGTGACGAATTCTTTCCAGCTGACATCACACTCCCAGACCGGCCGCTATCTCCATCCGTGACGTGAACGAAAGCCTTCGTTTGTGGTCTATTTCGCATCTTACCCTTCTCCTTTGCATCTGCCTTCTCGAAGGTTGCTTCCAACGCCTTCTCTACGAGACCTTCCATGAATGCACCGAATGTTTCCAAGTCGACTGACTGTGCGCGTCGCTTGTAGTCCACCCACTCCATGGCATAGTATGACGGCAGCTTCTGAACTAGACTCTGCATCAAAATTGGGTTCTTCAAGTGGTCCACCAGCCCGGCCGCTTTGAGATGCTGAGTAAACTCTTCGACGGCACTTCCGAACTCGATCACCGACTCCAAACTCTCCGAGCTTGGTCCCTCTAGCTGCTGGATCTTTGTCGCCAATCTGGTTGACAGGATCTCCGGATTCCCGAATCTCTTCCTCAGCTTCTCGATGATCAACGGCACGTTCTCCGGCAAAAGTAGACGATTTCGAACCGTATCCAATGCTTTCCCCTTCAGAGCATCCTGTAGACGGACCAAATTCTCTGCGTTGGTGAATCCACAGGACTGGTTTGCCTGCTCGTAGGCGCTGATAAAGATCGGCCACTCTTCTGCTGCTCCATAAAACTTCGGCAGGCTCCTCGGAAATACCTGTCGAGACGCTATCTGGAGCCGTGTCGGTCCATTCTCAACCACTTTATCGCCTTTGTAGTCCCCACCGTCGAGGATTGACTCTAGTGCTTCATCATCTTTCTCGAAAGACGGACGAGGCAGTCTCGGATTTGCAGAAAGCAATGATCTCATTCTTGTGGACTTTCCTGGTACTGGCTTCTGGGGGTTACTTCCATTTCGATCTTCCAGAAGTTCCTTGAAACGATCAAACAGGTCCTGGATATCATTTTCGGCGGACCTTTTCTTTGGATCTTTGCGAACCGCACCTAGACTCTTCGGGAGCTGCTTCTCCGGCTGCGGTTCCCCGCTTTTGTCCATCGATTCAACTTCGGCCTCTGAATCTGATTCGCCATCAGAACCGTTGATAATCTGTGTCAGCTCCATCCGTCGCTCAAGCGCCTTCTTCCGTCTAGCAATCCGCTTCCGTTGAAGTTCGAGGATTTTTTGCTGATTTTCCTCCTCAAGTTCGTCCAACCGGTTTCTTTCTTCCAAGTCTCGAAGTTCTCTCAACGCACGAACTCGTGTTGACTCCGCTGACGGTACACTGGCACTTTTCCGGAGCACACTTTTCCCAATTCGGCTACTCTTCGGTACTGAATCGGTGGGATTAACGCGCGCGGGTAGACTTGAATGACGATTTAACGATTTTAAAAGATCGTTTAAGAATCTAGTGTGGTCTTCTGACTTTTCTGTTTGCACATCTAGTTCTTCATCGTCTGAACTTTCCTGCTCCTGTTCTGATGTTTTATTTGTGTTGCCATCATCTTCATCCTGCGCTACTGCCCTACTAATGCGACCTTTAGTCGAAGATATGTTCTTACTCGCTACCTTACCGACCTTTTTCCCGCTACTTTCCGTCTGACTTCCTGGATGATTGATCACCATCGGATGAATCCGAGTTTGACCTGGTACACCCAACGACTGTCTGATCGATCTATCCTCACCGACACAAGTCGAGCAGAACCAGACCACCTCCGCAACAGATTCGTCGACACCAACGCACTCGAAGTGGTACCATTCTTGGCACTTTTCGCACTGTACGCTAGCATCGTAGTCCTCATCGCAGTCACAGCACGGGTATCTGTAGGTCTCCATTGATAAATTTTGAGGATGTTCGCACCCCTCCGGTGCGAATGAAAAACGATTTTCAAAAGTAGGTCTTTTGACGGACAAACTCAACTAAAATATATTCAAAATTAACAAACTATTTACATTAAACAAACTTACAATCGACACTTACAATTTAGTTTTTCAACGCCTGCAACTCCTCAATACCAATCTACCTTCGGTGGGCTTAGCGAGGTCCTATCAATTAATTAAATAAAAGACACTGAACAACATGTCACCTTTACATAATATTTAACTTACGGTAATTGAACAGTAATACACTAAATGCAAACATATCTGCTTCCCGCGGTACAACAGTGGCGAACAATCTATGATTTCACAATATTTAAAAAGCTACAAATAAACTAATAAACTACAAATTACACAACTTACTAGGTACAATAATCGGCACAAAACATAATTCGCAACAACAAAAACACATCTATCGCGATGGAGTCTATACTCTCCTGCTGGGGTAAAACAGCTGCTGGGGTAAACAAAACAAAGTAGTGCGAAAGCGATGGCCGTGTTCAGCTTATCCCACTCACTATCGCACCTCTGTGTGCATACATTCATATATGCGCCTCACTGCTACAGCGACGGCAAGAAACGTCAAAAACGGGCGCATCAAAGGGGCGCGTTCACGGTAGTTATGCTACCGCAACCCTTTCAGGCCTGACTGCAACGGCAACAGATATAGAGTCTGCTTTGTGGTTCGGTTGAGAGAGGTTGTGCCGTTACTCCGTGGCGTGTTATTTTTCTGGTGTCGGCAGATTAGTCCCGTGCGCGATAATCTAATCTGATTGAATTAGTTTTTGCAAACGTTTTGTTCTGGAATTAATGATGCAATGGTGTTTTGTGTGCTCTCTGAAGTAGAAGCGGTTTTCGGTGGACTTCGTTTCGCTCGTTCGTTCGTTTAGCTGCCCGCTCTTTCTCTCTCGGTCTGTGACTCGTCGGTTGCCCTCTGTGATTTTTTTTCTTATTAATAATATACGCACACCGAAAAGTGAGGAAGGGAGAAAGATAAGCATCAGGAATGCGCTCCCGGATGTATTCATTTGGTGAGTATGTTCCAGTTGAAGATTGTTCATACACATTTCTCGATTGCATTTTCGAAGGGACGTGTCTGCTTTTGTGGGCAGTGCGTTTGGTTGTCGGTTTGGTGTGGTTGGTGGCTCGCCCGCGCGCTGTGGCGCCGCCATCAGGTAGGGGAAAATTTTCCTATCTGTTGGTGGTGTTGGCATGCGTGTGCGGGATGCTGGTTGCGCCAGATTGACGATGGGATGCATTGTTTGCGGGAGTGGATGCGTCCCTTCTGGGGAGTATTCGAGATTTATGTATGTTCATCGTTCATCGTTTCATTTGTCAGAGTGATGACCACGGTCGCATGATGCATGTTCCTCGGCTTTTTACGGTTAGGTGTATACGAATAATTCACTATGATTTTATTTCCATCTTGATATAGTTTGAGTTTGAATACATCCTAGGTCCTATTATATTATTATTAAATATTCATTGATAAATATTTATAACAGGGTCAAAACACAACTGGAAGAAGCAACGTAACACCATTTGATTTTCTCTAATGTATGTTTAACGTTTATATGACAGTGAAATTAACCATTTAATTTTTCCTTTCCAGGATAGAAAGCTACATAACTAATTGATATATTTATTTGTATATTTGTAAATACTTATTTAATCAAATTCTGAATATGAGTGATGAGGAAGCTTATTGTGTTCGCGAGCCCTCCGTTTAGGCTGGACGCATTGATTTAAATCTTTAAGTTTATTTTCAGCTCTTCGACATTTTTAGATTAATATTATAATGATTCACTATTTTCAGCCTTCGTTCAGGAAAATACAAAAAACATTGGAATGCATGATTACAATTGCATAAAAACTGTTAACTGTCCAAATAACCTCGATTTTTCTGACTATTGATGCATTATGAAAGTTTACCAATATTTTAAAAAAGCATTCCATATTGCATTAAGAAATTCCATGGTGTTTGTTTCAATTCCAATAAAATATCAGAAGTTGAAATCAGTTGAATGCATTGAACTGAAATCGAGCTTATTTGTATTTTGTAATACTTGTTTATTTAACATTATTTTATATATTGCATGACTAGTAAATTAGTTTTATTTCACATTTTTAAAATCTCATTATATCACTATATAACTATCATTATAAAACTATAATTTTCATTTCTAGAAAAAGTTGTCCTGTAGATCCTGAAGGACCAGAAGGTGTATCAAATAGCTTATCATTGTTATTTACTATTTATTTTATTATAATATAATATGAATTTGGCCGGTTGCTTCTGTTGCAGCTTCACTTGGTTATTTGGCTGAGATCATTCCTTTTTATTTATTTATACAGTAACCCCTCCCTATCCTTTAAACATCAATTCAGCTTATCGTTTACCAAAACGAACCTTGCTGCAAACCCTACCCTCTTACCCAACATCCCAGTGACTCCTCGTGGAAGTGCAGAGGATTTCTCGGCTTCCATCAAAGCGAGTGTCACGTCAACACATTCCTACCCATTCCTTTCTTGACCTGCGTTCAGGCGCGACTGGCGCTGGTATTGCCTAATTTGAGATCACCAGTTTTTACACATTGAGGATGATTGCTAGTCCCAAGCATCGTCTATTGGTTCTCTGTGTAATTACAGCTGATCTGGCAATAACAGAGTAGCAACCGTGGGCGGTCAATCATGCTCATGCTCATGCTCATACTTGATTAGGTGAGTGATATAACATGTTACAATATTCGTTTTATTGGTATTCAATGATGTGAAAGACAGAAGTGAAAGAGAATGCGAAGTACTATACGAGTTTCGCACGGAGAGACGATTATAGAGCTTTTTGATGTTTTATCGGCGCACACTACTGCAACTTTTAAATCGAATGAGCGCGAGCAAGAGGGAAACAGATTAGTGGAAAAACAAATCATCCATTCATTCATGTGTGCTAGATAGAGAAAGACAATTAAACGCCAAAAAGGTTTATAATCGTCTCTGGCAATGACGTTTATATAAGGTCTGGGCCAAAGGGCTGATTGGTATTAGTGAAATGTGCAAATGTTTAGTGGTGTTCGTATTTTATTGCAATGTTTATCTTTTTACACGAAACAGCTGTTAGCAGTGACGTATTTCTATCTGTTCTCAGTATGTTGGCAGTGACGTATTTCTATCTGTTCGGAGATGTTCAGCAATGTTTACAACATTTTTGCTTCTAACACCAGCAAGCTGCCTGTTGGCCCAGACCTTATATAAATGTCATTGCGTCTCTGGAGCCCCAAACTTTCTCTTTCTCGTTCTTGCCTACTGAATTGTCACACTGGTTGTTTGCAGAATACATTTTCAAGGCAAGTGATGTGCAAAGGTGAGGACAAAAAAATCAATATTAAATTGCAAATGCAAATGCACTGAAAAAGTTGTTTTCGTTCGAAACAAAAATTGAATGAAAATGATCGATCCAGTCGATTTTTGTCTTGTTTAAGATCGATTCAAAAAATCGATAAATCGAACCAAAAGAATCGATCTTTTCTGTTTCGATCCAAGATCGCCCATTGCTAGTTGAGATGCTTCAAATGGGCTCAAGAGTATGGATTGCAAAAAATGTGAGAGGTGCTCTAGGTGCAGCCAACAACAGAAAACGTCGGAGCATAGGTTAACTGTATTGAAATGTGTTATTTTTTTTAAATACTTTTTGAACAGAAGAAAAGCAGCGTGCGTTTTGATATATAAAACAGCCAAGTTGCAGGTGTGTAAATCAATTCGATTTTTTGTATTTGAATATTGCAGAGTTGTCTATAAGCTACGTAGCATTACGTCAGATTGTTGAGGAAAAAACATCCTCTTCTAGTTTTATTAGCTGAAACTCATATTGTAGAACGTAAAGTTTTTGATTAGTATAGTATTCCGGGATATATTGATGCTGGTTGCTTGTCACATTTAAGACACATTGGCGGTGTTGCTATTTATGTCAAAGAATCAATTCAATTCGACCTTCGTAT